AGGGCTTTGGATCACATCAGCCTAGGTTTGCATTGGCTTTCTTAGTAACTAGATCTAAGATGAGCTTAACTTCTTTGAGCTGCACATATCTATATGATATAGATAAGTAACCTCTATCTTGAAGAGTTTTTGCAAATATTAACAGAGGTAGTACATAAGAAAACAGCTAGTTCAGTGCCTAGAACATAATAAATGTGTGTTTCTTCTAGTAGTCACCTGGTAGTGCTGACAAGCTGTCTTGTGTGTTATCTTTAGGGTGATAACAGAGAGCAACCAATCTCTGTTGTTGTTGGATGTCTTAGAAGGGATAGAGATAAACAGCAGCCAGAGGAAGAGCTAGTGTTAGGAAGTTTTAAAGAAATGAGGATTCTATGGTTAATATTCTTGGTTGGAGTTTAAGAGGAAATTTAAGTTGTCCATTAATATACTTACCAATTGGGTCTAATTGGCAACTACCCCAAAATGAATAAAACAAGCGGGAATCAAGAGAGAAAAACGGCAGGCATCCTGTCAAAAAATAAAATCTTTGAAATTTCTACAACCCAATGGTTAGATACACATTTTATTAAAGCAGATGGATTACCCAATTTATATAAATTTATACAGGCGACGGCAACCTACGTCGCACATTCTGTCCTATGTGGGCAGCTAGTGGCCTTTCTGTAAAAGCTACATCTTGTCTTATTACTGCTTCAATAAAAAAGTATTTGATATCAACATCTCCTTTGCTGAAGAAAGTATCCTTTTTTATTCCGTTAATGTCTAGATCATTGTGGTTAAAGAATGAAATGAATTAATTCCTGTTAAGTGCTTTCATCAACGCTTAAAATGTAGTAAATCCTCAAAAAATGTTAGTTGTTGTTAAATTAAAGAATTTTTCAATTTGGTGCCTTCTGGTACAGGAACTGGATTTGTCTCTTCCTTTCTTTTTGAAACAGTTTTCTGATTTTCAGAGAGATAAGTGTTCTATTCTCAAGAGACTACCTCTCTCTTCAGAGGCTAACTGACTTGCTTTATTTTCTTTTCCAATTTGCCAAGAGTACATGTGCTTGTCAGAGAGAGATAGAAAGAGAAAGTATTTTCCCTCAATGGGGTGTGGGTATGCCACAATTCCTTCTTTGTTTCTTCATGTTTTGGGATCTGGGGCATGCACATACACGTTTTGTGTTTCTCACGCCACCTGGGCTGGAATTCAAACTCCATGGTTGGACATGTGAGATCCAGCAGCCTTAACCATCAGGCCATAGAGCTGGCCCACTTCCTTCTCTTTTTTAAAGGTTTGAAACAAATGTCCATGTGTCTTTTAATATGCATGATGTTATTACTGAAATGATCCTCACTTTTCTCTCTTCCCTTTGTCATTGACCTCGATATAGGTATGCCAATCTATTTATCCATCTATCTTTCATTCCAAATAGTCATTAAAGACATTCGGTATACATTCCCTACCAATTTGGCTATTCTGCCCCAAACTGGGAGAGAAATTGGTAATATCATGTCTCTGGAGTTGCTAACTTGCTAAACCAGCTAGGTTACAGCTAGATGTTTCAGGTGGTATCTCATTTCAATTATAGATCTCGGAGGAAAATTCCATGAACATGAGTACTTTTACATATGCCCTTCTTGTTCCTTTCCTAGAAACAGCATTTAAAGAGTACCCCAGCTCCTCCAGTCAGTTCATTTGACACTAGCTTTTCAGGATCAAGCTAGACTTCGAAAGGAGTCTCAATTTAGGACAATTATTGGGGGCTAGGAATTGGCAGAGGGGAGTTGGCTGGTGAGAGGCATGGTATGGACTCATCCACTTCTCATGAGACATTACTTGGTCATTCTTCAGTGCCTATCACTGGCAAAGATGCCTTTTTACAAGAATGTACTCACTGGAGAAAGCACAAAGCAATATACCTTGGATCACAGAATAGAAGGGGTGGTTCCTCTGTATTCTTAATAATTTATAAAATAACAAATAACAAACCAAGAGTAACTACTGTACATGTTCCAGAAAGTTCCTAATTAGTATGTTTCTGAGAACATAAATTCAGCTTGCAAGCACAATTCCCCAGGCCACTCTACCACTGTGTATGGCAATTAGACTGCTTGCTAAACACCATAAGCAAAACTTCAAATAAACAACAACACAATCCCCCCTGCAAGTACAGCAGAAGCATTTGTTGATGGACCCATACACAGAATTGGCTTAATTCTATCTTTCCAGCAGAGTGAACAGCACGCTGGTACTTTCAGTTTTGTTCCCCCCTCACATACCCCAGTTATCAAACTCTAATGAATAAAAGTTTATATAATACTTTAGTGAAGATTAATCAGGGTAAGATTAGTGGCATGGTTAAAAATGGAAATGTCTGGATAGCAGGTGTGTGTTGACTGTGTCCCTAATTGTTCCTATATTTCCTTAATTACCCTCCAGGACACACGGAGAATCATCTCACAGGGAACACATGAGAGAATAAAGGGCCAAAGATTTTATATTAAAATGAGGCCAATGCCTTATGACCCTGCTTCTGTTTTTTGCCCAGGTGCATGGAGGGCTTATTTGAATTCTTAGAATGTTGAACCAAGAAGAGTCAGAAAAGTACCTTCCGTACGACACAGTGATGTGATGCTGAACAAAGAATTGTTGACTAGGAGTTTGGAGTTCAGGTTCAACAGAAGCTCTGCCAAGCTTAATTCACTGCATGAATTTAAGCAGGACACTCGACCTGTTCTGAGTCGATTTTCTATTGGCAAAATCAAAGCAATAAAATACACACACACACACATACACACACACAGACACACACACACAGACATACACACACACATACACACATCACACAGTTCCATTTATTATTCAAATTTTATACTCAACTTTAACATCTCCCTCATGTCGCCCTACTAAGGGCAGTTAAAAAAAGGGAAACAACGGGTACCAGCAGATGGCATAACGCTTACATTGCTGGACTCCCACATAGTCTACTGCGGCGAGTCCTGGATGCTGCGTACATGTGTGCCCAAAATCCTGAAAGAAGAATGGAGGAGAAAGGATTGCAGGATCTCCCTCCCCTGGGTGGTGGTGGTGGTGGTGGTGGTAGTGGTGATTTCTCGCTTTCTGTCTCTCTGGTGAGCACATGTACTTTATAGCAAAAATCTCTCTCTCTCAAAAAAGGGAAAAATGAACTATATATATATCTTTTCCTCATGCTTTTGATGATTATATTTTCTGAATAACTAACTAGTTAACATGGGCTTGTTATTCATGCTTGTGGCTGAAATTTTGCTTTTGCAGAGAGAAGGCAATAAACAATTCAATGAAAGTGAAATAAATGTAGACTACATGCAGTACACTAAATTTCTGGCTGTTGAAAAATTTTCACCTATCTGGTTTGCAATTCATTGTCTTATTTAAAACTCCTTTGCCAGGTATCCCCAGGGACAATCCACCCAGAGATGTTCTTTGTCTAAATTTCTGTTGTATTTTGTATAATTAAAGGCCATTGGACCCTTGCTGCTTTATCATGTAGCTCTTAACGCACTGAGCAGCCAGATAACAGAGTGGTGGAGGCATCAACTTAGCTGAGACTTCTTGGGTCTGTCACTTACCATGGTCTGATCTTAAGCTAGGACTTGAACTCTGTTCCTTAGCTTTCTTAATGGCAAATGAGAAGAATAATGGTATCCACTTCAGGGATGTTATAAGGATTAAATAAGTTATTTCTTACAAATTGTTTAGACTTGCACTAAATAAGCACTATTTATTTATATTTTAATTTTGTCAGAGGGCACATGGACTCACAAGAGAGAGAGGGAGCAAGGGAGCGAGGGAGCAAGAGAGCGAGAGTGAGAGCGAGAGCAAGAGAGAGAGAGAGAGAGAGAGAGAGAAAGTGAGAAAGTACCCCCTAGGATGGAGGGACATGTTATAATCCCTTCTCTTCCATTTTTTTCTCTCAGGATTTTGTGCACACATGTACATGTCCCTGGTGTTTTTCAAACCTACAGGTCCAGAACTCTAATGGTGCAGTTGGCCTTGTGGGATACAGTTGCCTTAACCACCACACCACAGGCTGGTCTGTTAACTTAATTTGTAAGACTAAGTTCTCCAGTGACACAGATATGCCTTTTTTTTTTCTTTTTTTATCTTGCAGCTTCTATTGTGCTTAGTATATTGTAGGTGCACAAGGAAATACTTGTTGGAAAAGAGCCTAATGAAAGTATTGTCAAGGAGAACTAGAACAGAGGAAGCAATCACAATTCATTTTAAATGACAGATATTTTGAGTGTTCATTTTTGCCACATTTTGAAAAGCTGAAGCAATTTGAGGCCTTGTGGGATACAGTTGCCTTAACCACCACACCACAGGCTGGTCTGTTAACTTAATTTGTAAGACTAAGTTCTCCAGTGACACAGATATGCCTTTTTTTTTTCTTTTTTTATCTTGCAGCTTCTATTGTGCTTAGTATATTGTAGGTGCACAAGGAAATACTTGTTGGAAAAGAGCCTAATGAAAGTATTGTCAAGGAGAACTAGAACAGAGGAAGCAATCACAATTCATTTTAAATGACAGATATTTTGAGTGTTCATTTTTGCCACATTTTGAAAAGCTGAAGCAATTTGACATATATTTCATCTCTATACAAGGCATCTTAAAAGTATAGTGGGGTAAAGGGAATAGTGGGGACATTTTTTCACAGATGGATAGTTCTCAACATGAAAGAGCTGTCAAATGAGCTAGTCCCATAAAGAGAGGTAGGACGTGGGGAAAAGGGACTTTGGGGGTGACCAGAAGAAGCATGATGAAAGGAAAATAAAGAATTCTAGGCCTACTAGATGGTACTTAGGGTTGAGATATAAATGCAGGGCATTTGGCTATCTGGTTGTGGCTAAGGACTGGAAATATATTTAGGCTATTTTATCACTGACCAAGTCCAAAGAGGAAGTCATCTTGTTACTGATTTCCGCCATTATCAAATGCAAGCATCAAATCTGTTATTTTGGTCTCATAATTTTGAAAAAGTATATTTATTTACTTCTGAGAGAGGGAGAGAGAGAGGTTGATTGATTCCCAACAGAGTCCTCATGCTGAGATCCATTCCCAGCCAGCCCAGATCATGGGCACACCACACACACTTGCACCCAGTGTAAACCGGAAGGCCCATTCCATGTGGGTCCAGCAGAGTTATCTCTGCACTATTATCTGGTGAGGCCTCATATTTTTATACACACCCTTTATATGTGACCTGAGAAGAATATTGTTTTCTACAATGTGTCTTTAACCAGCCTCTCCTCCCTTAGATTTCCTGACTAGACTCTCTTTGTCTAAAAGGTGAAGATTGCCAGGAGAGTGAGTGAGATTCAAAACAAGAAGGTATGTCAAAATACAGCTACGCCAGCGCCTTACTCACACACAGTTCAAGGATAACAGGCACACACTTGAGGGAGGAAGGTACCTACCTGACTCCCAAGTCATATGGAAAGGCTGGTGACACCCAAAGGTTCCCTTCTTCTCTCCCTCC